CTTTCTCTCTGGAATGGTTTTGGCACCAATGCACAAGCCCAGGGGGGTTACTCGCTGTCTGGGGCATGGTCCACTGTCACAGGTCTCCCTCAATACTTTATTGTAGGCCTGCAAAGAAAAGCCTGAACACACAGAAAATGTTGACATATCAGCTAATAAGCAGTGCTTGACTTGGGCAGGAGATCACCAGAGCGGAGTACCTGCAGCTCAAATGTTCTACTGCTTGAGCTCCTGTTCCTCTTACAGAATATATGTTCAAAAGTATTGTGGAGCTCCTTCACCTAAATATAAACTGTACAGGCACCCAAAATGAGTACCGGAACCTATTGCAGTCCAAGTCAAGCACTGCTAATAAACAAACGTCTGACACTTTTGCAAAAGGAAAATGCTAATCGAACAGTGAGCAAGCCTTTCAATAACAACAAATAATTTAAGTAGTGTATACGGTGGTCACTATCTGGAAGGAAGTTGTCACTAATGTCATCTCCCTCCAAAAAATTGATTGAGTGGCGTCGACCGTTGAAAATGGATTTACTTCGAATATGATTAAAATTCTAATTTCAACAATAAAAACTGAAGATTCATACATTTTTGTTCACAGATCATTCTTTGACAACAAAATACTGCATGCACATTTTCCGGTTGCTAATAGATTGATTGTTCGATAGTTAGCTAACGTCGCTTGCTGGCTAGCAACTCACTTTATTCCAGCATGAATGAACATATCATTTTCCCCTTTCATGTAAACTCAACAGCCCAATTTAACTACACAAACTTGGGTTTCAGAAAGGGCACACAAATCAAGGTAAGGTAAATTGCTAGCTAATTAACCAATTCCTCGTACACTTACCTCCCGTGGGCTTCGAATGCAGTGTGTGACGTCAAGCGCACGGTGGAGTCGCCTCTGTTCTGACATCATGATCCACGTGGGTTACTGCTTGGTTTATTATTTTTGACTGATGATCAGCAGTATTTTTTATTTTTTTTGTATTCTCTGTAGGACAATTTATTGAAACGTGCACATAATAAACGTTTTAGCGTCCCAAGACCCATTCTACCATCATAATCTTGAATCAATTGACACAGTATGAATCAGGGGTTTGTTTAATTTCTGTGTTGAAGTACACTGAACTAGATAATTTCCATCTCTTTGAGAATTCTCTGGGTCCCACAAGTCATTTCTCAGGGCTGTGAGATGTAGGTCAGCATTGATAGAGGAGCCACATCAGGCACACTGCAGCTAGAGTTATGTCTATACAGGAAATCCCACATTAGGACCACATTTAATCAATTGTAACAAACCTGTTTTACTGCATTTGGAGTGTTATAAATTGAATCAATGGCAAACATTATTATTCCAAAAACAGGACAGAGTATTCCTTTGATCATACTGTAAGAAGTTGACATCTTCAATTATGAAATGAGCATTTATCAGGTTGTAATCATGCCAGGGCAAATCTCTTTATTTACAGCTTAAAGTTGTTTGTACATCACAATTGCAGATAAGACCTCATATCATAAGTAGTAGCCTACTTACAGCCACATACAGTACAGTGCTTCAGTGTAGGAGTAACAATGGTATGTGGTAGAGAAATAGGACGACAGAAACAAGGTAAGCGAAAATAACAAGATATCACAAGCCCAAGCCATTCTTATTGCCACAATGCCACACCTTGTGCGCTTTAAAATCCAACCTCTCACTATCTTGAAGTATAGGAGACTACATCTTTCATTGTGTTAGGAAGTATTTAGGAGTCCAAAAAATGGGAAACGTTTGAGTTTATTTAAAATGTTGCAAGTGAAACTTTGTGACAGTGCTCAACAGGTGATTGGCTGTTGCACTGTCTGAAATGGGATGCCATTGGTCAACATCTCAAACGATAGGAGGCTAGAGCTTTTATATGAGGACGAGGTCAACCCTCAATTTGAAGACATTTCTCAATTTCTCAATTTCACTTCAATTTGTGTGAAGTGAATCTTTCAAGGTTGTAGAAGTAAACCTTGTAGTGCCAGGTTGGTATGGTATAGAGAAAAGTAATATTGCTCACCAGTTTATTTAGTATATAGGAAGACAGGTGGAAACCACATCAACATACTTTGAAAGGATGCAGAAACCAAAGCAATGGACACTGCATTCATAGATAGGTTACCACAGAAACAGAAAAATCTGTTTTTAAATTAAAAACCTTGTGCTAGAGTTGATTACTTGGCCATTTCCTGATAGAACTGTATAAAATAGTATTTTTGTGGTCTCATCTGTAAAAGTGTGGTGAGTGGCACAATACAAATCCTAACTAAAGTATCTCTGTACAACATTTACAAGTCATGAACATCGTTCAGACAACAATTTTAAAGCAACTGTAAAAATACTAATTGTTAAGCTGTCTAAACATCATAGCTATACCAATAAAAATAAAAATAGATAACAGTGTTTTAAAGGCACGAATACCAGAAAAAGTGAGAACATGCAAAAAGAAGAAAAAACGACATATTTTTGTGCAAGGAAGCAAAACGTAAGTTTAAAGCAATTGAATTTACAGCAGGTTATCCCCTATCCCTATCAATGTCCTCTCGAATACAGTAGTACAGCAAAAGCCTAGTGTAGGACATTTTAAAACTACTGTATCTCAACAAAAACCCATTAGGTTTTAACAGAGAGAATGTTAGCTACGTGAGACATTCATGATATTTACAGTATACTAGCCAAAGGGCGAAACACTACCTATACACTCTGTATAGACCCCAGTATGATTGCTATTCCAGTCTTATTAGTACCAAACTAGTCTACAGTATGTGAACCTCTGATGAATATACTGCAGTATACTAAAATATCTTATATAGAGATGATAGGGATGATTCAATGAGCCACACTGACATGGCTTAACACCCAGAGGAAATTCATAAAACACATTGAGATGTGGAATAACATAGAGATAAATACTGTATCTATCTCTATGCAGAATGCATTAAGCATTCTGTACATTCACATCCATTGGGTTACATTCGTGTGCTTGTACATTGTTATGCTGTTGACTTGACAGCCCTGTGTGCTGGCAGGGTTTGTCTCTAGTTCAGTGTAGACATAGGGAGAGTGGAGTGGCAGAGTACGACACAGAAATATAAAGCATATAGGCTAACGGGCTAATACCCACATTAAAAAATACTACCGTTTATTATAGAATACTACAGTACCTATTATAGAATTCTATAGTAAACTGTAGTATACTATACTACACACTGTAGTATCCCTCGATCATGTGTACAGTAGTACTTACTATAGAATGTTATACTATACTGTAGAAACTATAGTAAATACTATAGTATTAGCCACAAAAAAACACTGTAGTAAATACTACTGTAACCGCAAAAACACTACAGTCTGCAAAAACATGACACTTTTTTAAAACTATAGTAAATACTACAGTATCTTATTTACATATACCTTGGCCATGCCCCTCCCCCATATCACAATTTGTGCCACCCATAAGTGAGAAACCTACATGCCAAGTATAGACCATAGTGTTCCCTACAGGTTATAGAAAAGAACAGAAGCTCTGAACAATCTGTTCAGACCCCAGTCCTACCTACAGGTTATGGAAAATTTGCTCTTTTAGTATTTCTCCGGTAGGTTTCCTGAAGGAGAAAGTCTCAATTTCTATGTCAAAGATAATAAAACAAAAACACTGTAGTAAATACTACAGTAATGTCTGCAAAAACACTACATTATTACTATAGTATATACTACAGTTTTCTTTTATTACAGTATTTATACTATAGTTAACTGTAAATGCTACAGTATAATACAGTATACTACAGTAAATACTACAATAAATACTACAGAAGAAACAGAAAAGTGTATTCACTGCAGTGAATACTACAGTAAAATCCACAAAAACCCTACAGTGAATACTATAGTATTTATACCATAGTATACTATAGTATTTTTTTATGTGGGTAGCTATAGCAGCACTATGCAATGGGACCTTCATAGCAGATATCCCAGGTCTAACCAACCTATTTAGACAGACTTACTACAGAATGTCTGAGTAGAAATGAATTCATGGGGACCCATGATTAAGATGAATTGGCATTCTGAAATTCTCAACCAGCCAATGAACAACTCACTGTGTGAGTTAAGGATTTACTATATGGATTTATCATACAGTATTACTCTACACAGATCATACTGTACCGTCATCTCAGAGTTCCCTAGGAAGTCATTATTCTCTTATCTTCCTCTGTACTTTACTGACCGATACACTTCACCTGTTCCTTCTTTGACTTCACTAAACCATTCCATCCTCCTGAAAGCATTCCATCACACCAAGTTCTGCTGCCTCTCATTACCAATTTACATGGCTGATATCATCTTTAGTCAACACCAATATCTTTTGACATGGAGATGCTTGTATAATACTTTCTCTCTCCTTCTCTCCCTCCTTTCATCTCTTTCTGTCACTCTTCTTACGCACAGAAACACGTGCTGCTTTACTTTCTTCATCAACGTGCCTCTGCCCACATACCTGTCTTCAGCGATCAAACACAGATCAACTTGAAGGAAACAGTGGGGATAGGGTTGTCTGGGAGCTACAGATCTCTGTTTGTCTATCTGCCTGTCTCTCTCCGTTCCTTTCTTCCCCTATGGCTACAACACATGCTGTTGCAGATCAATAGGTTTGTGTTCACATTGTTTCTACACACTCCACTAGAGTACGTATATCCAGTGTTTAACAACCTGTATTTCCCTTCATATTCAAAGCACCTGCCCAGTATAATAGTTTTTTCCCAGTAATAATTCATCTCAATTGTTTTTAAGACTAAAGATGAGGCTGTGAGGAAACAATAGAGAAAATAGAAGGAGAAATGAGGGAGATATCAACATCTGTTGACGAGTCACAGAATAGAACAGAAGTATGACGGTGAAGTACCAAAACTCCCTTTAGAAGTCAACAAAATCCCCTATAGCTTCAGTCGCTGGAGAAAACAGGGTCATATTCATTAGGGCACACCATAGCAAAACGTTTCTCAATGGAACACAAAAACAAGTGTTTCTAATTGGACGAGTCCAGGTTGTACCGCCCAGTTTTAGTCTGTTTTCTTCTGTTTTGTGCCTAATGAATACACCCAAGTTCACAGTTCCACCCCTGGGGCAGCAGGGGGCAATGAAGTCTAGCTGTCCCATGCCCCAGCTTGGCTAGTCTTCCTTTCCCTTTCCCGTTCCCCATTCCTTTAGGGGGTTTTAGTAGTGGGTTACTAGTAGAGGGGTTCTAGTTGGTCTTGATCTCCAAGATGGAGGGGTTGTGGTCCAGGATAGACAAAATGATCTTGTCCATGTACTGCCGCAAACGGAAGTTGATCTCCTCCTGCTCCTTGAGGGCCTCCATCAACTGTGGAGAAATATCAAATCAATGTTATGTTACCATCAGATATGGTGGTGCCATTATCTGGTTATACTATGACCTAAATCAACTCTTCTAGGGTTACTCCGAAATGATCAAATGATCAAATGATTCTCATTATGAATGAAAAACTCACGTCGTCTCGTGAGGCGTTGTCTATCTCGGCAGCCAGCGACTGGGCCTTGGTCTGGGTGGCGAACAGGTTCTTAGCCTCATACAGACTCAGACTGAGGATCTGACCATTCAGGTCGTCGTTCTGTTCCCTTAGCTTCAGGTTCTCCTGTTGGGTGGAGGGGGGAGTGAAGGAGGGAGGGAGGGAGGGATAAAGAGAGGAGGTTGGGAGTTTGGGAGAGAGAAGAGGGAGGGGGAAGTAGAGGGAGAGAGGAGGGAAGGAAAGAGAGAGAGAGAGCGATGAGTATCATAGTTTGATTTGGCAGACTGAAGCGATGGGTTAAGAGGGAGTCCACAGCTTGATGAGTTTCATCTCAATTCTCCAAGCGCCCCACTTCATCCACACTGTGTCAGTAGGCAGGGCCTGTTAGATTAGACTACTGAAGCCTCACACAACTACACATATGACAAACCATCTCTTGATTTCAACAGCAGCCGACACAGCACACCACATCTACAGTAACACCTACAGGACAGGACACAGGTTATTATGGTTATCACGGTGTTATGGCACAAACTGCTCCCTGTGTCAACTGGGGGTGAAGCTCTATAGGCGCTGTATGGTGGTGTTATTAACGGTGGTTAATGGCAGGGGTCAAAGGTTAAAGGTCACAGGAAACAACGGTGGGTTTGTTTACCGTCTGACCGTGACGGAGGCGTGCCCCAGCGGATACTACGAGGTGGTGGAGGTCAGAGGTCAGAGGAAAGTCCTGCGAGACAAACCGCTGGACACACAGAGGAAGAGCACAGAGGAGCACAGGGAGACATGAGGGACGGAATAGACTCATTCATCCCTGTTTGTAATACGATCAAATCAGCTAGCTGATCTGTATTCTCTTTTGAACCCTTTTTCAAATTTGAAACAGTGCCATTATAAAAGAACAGATTTTAAATAAAGAGTTTCAGATAAGCACCATTTGATCTAAAAGTGTTGAGAAAAGAGGAAAAAGGCATCACATATCTGCCTGACACCAATTAGAGATGGATCACTAAGTAATGTTTCTCTTCCAGCCTTGTAGTTTAAACTTTGAGCCTGTGACTGCAGAAAATGACTGTGCGAAAAAAGCTTTACGTGTATGTGTAGTCTGGGTACCAGTCTTTTTAGCTAACATTCCACCCCTTGCCACTCCTGTCATTTGTCAAATGTAATAGCTGAGCAGAGACGGCAACCAGGCTAGTGTGAGAGAGAGAGAAAAAGAGAGAGAGAGAAAAAGAGAGTCAGAGAGAGAGTGAGACAGATCCAGATGAAAGCTGCAGGCAAGGCGAGGCATTGTGATTACTCTCCTAGCGTTACTGTCAGTTTGACAGTGTGTACTGACCGAAGGCAAGAAAGAAGCCTACAGTAGAATATCAAATCTTTACACATGAAGATACTGCAATACTGCATGTCTCAGCAATAGAGCCTCTTGCCTGCGTTTGCCTCAAGGCTTTGTGGTTTAGTATCATAAAGTCTGCCTTATCTGAGAGGGCATCTTAGAAACACTTTTATCTTGATCTCTTATCTCATGTTTACACTAGGTCCGATGCTCGTAACAAGGATGGGGAACAATAACAATGTGATTTCCCTGCCCTTGACAGACAGAAACCACTGGTATTCACTACCTAGAAATGGCACACTATCTAAGAAATCGAAAGGACAACACTTACTGTAGATAGATATGACTAGTGTATGCCACTCTCTATGTTGAGAGTGTACTCACAGCATTAGACTATCACACAAAACACTATCAACTCACACACCAGCATATACAGTGAGGGAAAAAAGTATTTGATCCCCTGCTGATTTTGTATGTTTGCCCACTGACAAAGACATGATCAGTCTATAATTTGAATGGTAGGTTTATTTGAACAGTAGGAGACAGAATAACAACAAAGAAATCCAGAAAAACGCATGTAAAAATTTTTATAAATTGATTTGCATTTTAATGAGGGAAATAAGTATTTGACCCCTCTGCAAAACATGACTTAGTACTTGGTGGCAAAACCCTTGTTGGCATTCACAGAGGTCAGACGTTTCTTGTAGTTGGCCACCAGGTTTGCACACATCTCAGGAGGGATTTTGTTCCACTCCTCTTTGCAGATCTTCTCCAAGTCATTAAGGTTTCGAGGCTGACGTTTGGCAGGATTTCAGTCCTTCACGGCGTAGTGTGTTACCAATTGTTTTCTTGGTGACTATGGTCCCAGCTGCCTTGAGATCATTGACAAGATCCTCCCGTGTAGTTCTGGGCTGATTCCTCACCGTTCTCATGATCATTGCAACGCCACGAGGTGAGATCTTGCATGGAGTGTCACGCCCTGGCTCTGGGGACAATGTTATGTTGAGCCAGGGTGTGAAATTCTATGTTTGATTTTCTATGTTGGTCTGAGTGACTCCCAATCAGAGGCAACGAGTGTCTGCTGGTTGTCTCTGATTGGGAGCCATATTTAACTCTGTCTTTCACTTTGTGTTTGTGGTTTCTTGTTCCTTTTGATTTGTGTTTGTGTCGAAGGACTTCACGTTTCGTTTGGTGTTGTGTTCGCTGTGGTGTACAATAAAATAAATATGTACGCATCTCACGCTGCGCCTTGGCCCGCTACTTTTCAAGACGATCGTGACAGAAGAAACCACCTAAACCAGACCAAGCAGCGTGTCCAGGAGCCATCGCTGGCAGATCTCCGTGGCAACCTCGACTGGGTCAAGCCTAGTGAGGAGCAGAGAGGGTGGACTTGGGACCAGTTGAGGAGGAGCTTCGACTGGGTCAAGCCCATCGAGGAGCTGAATGGCGGGAGTTGGAGACAGAGGAGCGAGAGTTGGGCGAGAACGATGGAGGCCTGGCCCACGGGGAGGAGAGACCCCCAGAAAAATTTTTTAGGGGGGGGCTCACGACGTCGGGGCAGCAGGAGGCCGCGATAGAGCGGTCCAGCGGGTTGGCAGAGGAGGCCGCCAGGTTACGGGAGTCACTGGTCACCAGGGGGAAGGAGGTTGTAGAGGCACGGCGAGAGGTACTGGCGTGTGTTGCCAGTCCGGTCCGGCCTGTTCCTGATCCCCACGTAGGGCCAGTGGTGTGTGTTCCCAGTACGGTCCGGCCTGTTCCTGCCACTCCCACCAAGACAGTGGTGCGTTTCGTCAGCCCGGCGCGGCCCGTTCCTGCTCCCCGCACCAAGTCAGTGGTGTGCGTCGTCAGCCCGGCGCGGCCCGTTCCTGCTCCCCGCACCAAGTCAGTGGTGCGCGTCGTCAGCCCGGTCCGGCCCATTCCTGCTCCCCGCACCAAGTCAGTGGTGCGCGTCGTCAGCCCGGTCCGGCCCATTCCTGCTCCCCGCACCAAGTCAGTGGTGCGCGTCGTCAGCCCGGTCCGGCCCGTTCCTGCTCCCCGCACCAAGTCAGGGGTGCGCTTCGTCAGCCCGGTCCGGCCCATTCCTGCTCCCCGCACCAAGTCAGGGGTGCGTTTCGTCAGCCCGGTCCGGCCCATTCCTGCTCCCCGCACCATGTCAGTGGTGCGCGTCGTCAGCCCGGTCCGGCCCGTTCCTGCTCCCCGCACCAAGTCAGGGGTGCGCTTCGTCAGCCCGGTCCGGCCCATTCCTGCTCCCCGCACCAAGGCAGTGGTGCGCTTCGTCAGCCCGGCTCGGCCCGTTCCTGCTCCCCGCACCAAGTCAGTGGTGTGCTTCGTCAGCCCAGTCCGGCCTGTCCCTGCTCCACGCACCAAGCCTACGGTGTGCGTCGTCAGCCTGGTAAGGCCCGTTCCTCCTCCACGCACCAAGCCAGGGGTGCGCGTCGTCAGTCCAGCACAACCCGTGCCTGGGTCATGTCCGGAGCCGGATCCGCCGCCGAGGCGGAGTGCCCACCCGGTCCCTCCCCTGTTGTGGTTGGTGGCATATTTAACTGTGTGGCATATTTAACTGTCTGTCTTTCACTTTGTGTTTGTGGTTTCTTGTTCCTTTTGATTTGTGTTTGTGTCGAAGGACTTCACGTTTCGTTTGGTGTTGTGTTCTCTGTGGTGTACAATAAAATAAATATGTACGCATCTCACGCTGCGCCTTGGCCCGCTACTTTTAAGACGATCGTGACATGGAGCCCGAGACAGTTCTTTTGTGTTTCTTCCATTTGCGAACAATCGCACCAACTGTTGTCACCTTCTCACCAAACTGCTTTGCGATGGTCTTGTAGCCCATTCCAGCCTTGTGTAGGTCTACAATCTTGTCCCTGACATCCTTGGAAAGCTCTTTGGTCTTGGCCATGGTGGAGAGTTTGGAATCTGATTGATTGATTGCTTCTGTGGACAGGTGTCTTTTATACAGGTAACAAACTGAGATTAGGAGCACTCCCTTTAAGAGTGTGCTCCTAACCTCAGCTCATTACCTGTATAAAAGACACCTGGGAGCCAGACATCTTTCTGATTGAGAGGGGGTCAAATACTTATTTCACTCATTAAAATGCGAATCAATTTATAACATTTCTGACATGCGTCAGAATTTTTTTTGGTTGTTATTCTGTCTCTCACTGTTCAAATAAACCTACCATTAAAATTATAGACTGATCATTTCTTTGTCAGTGGGCAAACGTACAAAATCAGCAGGGGATCAAATACTTTTTTCCCTCACTGTAGTGGTGGCATTTACAAATACATACAGTATACTTAGGGGTGGAATTGAGGAGAACGCGTGTAAAAAAAACAAATGTTGTGTAAAATATTGTTTTTGAGCCCCACCTGTTTGAGTCTCTTGCCAAATTAAATCCTAGCAAATTCCCAAACAGAGGAAGGAACAATGCACTCATATAGAGTTGAAACAGCACCTACACATGCCTGTCAGCAATAGCCACTAGGTCTCAAGCCCACCTGTTTGAGTCTCTTGACCTCGTGCTCCAGCTCCATCTCTCTGGTCTTGGCGTTGAACTCCGTCAGCCCAGAGGAGGAGCTGCGGCCGCGGCCAGGCTTCTCTGTCTCCAGCTTGAACAGCTGCAGGTGCTCCAGCTCCCGACGAAGGTCCTCAATCAACTGCAGGAGAGGGACACAACCAGGGATGATATGTGGTAGCTGTCGTGAAGACTGTTCAGTTATAAAGGGTACCTGGGATAGCCACATAGACCAGTCTGATGCAGTGGGCAGACAGTCTGATGCAGTGGGCAGACTGGTCTATGTGCAAACATTCAGCTACTAGAGATTTCAGAGGAGTGGGAGAGGCATCATAAGCTTTCTTTTCATACTACATGTGAAAGTGTGTACAAGTGTGTGTACATGCTTGTGTGTGTGTGTGTGTGTGTGTGCGTTATCCCTCCTCTCACCTCCTGCATGGCCTCCCTCTCCTTCTGGAACTCATGTCTGTTCTGTCTCAGCTTGTCCATCATCTTCCTGTAGAGGTCCATCTCATCCTTCAGCCTCAGACTGGTGTCCTCCAGCTTGTCTGTCATACGCTGCTTCTCCTGACCGCACACACATATAGACACGTTCAAATACATGTGATGATACACACAGAATGAAGTGTGTATTGTTTTCAAACGTATGCCTGATTCACATTACAGGCCCAAGCCAAGGCAATATGTTCTGGGCTGGACTGGTTACACATCCACCATAGTTGCTGGGACCGTGCTGGAAAGGACCACGTGAATAGAAAACACCCAAGCCAGCACAGTGCAGTTCGGGGCGGCCCTATAGGCCAAGTACAACAACTTAGGGACAGGCAAAATTATACAACGAGCTAGAGAGGGTGGTCACTCAATCTCAAAACTGACCCCGATTACCCAATAACCTCTGCTCTACCCCCAACCTCCAGAGTAGCTTATCAAAATAAAAGTCACATGTTGTTCACACAATAAAGGTCCCACAGTATGAATAAGACATTAGTTTGTTAGGATGTATGGGGTAAGCAAGAACACATTCAGTCTAATAATGCACAGTGAATAGTCTTGTAAGAAGAAGCATTAGGACACATACCTTAAAATGAACTATACATTTAATGAATTTACAGTACTATGCACAGTGCAAATACTGCAAAAAAAATTGAAATGCACAACTGCTATTCATAAACATATTCTCTACAGCTGGTAATGAAATGTTGCCTGGCTACCCAAACTCCTTGCTCCGGCCAAACGCTACGTCACGCCACCCCCACAGACGTTAGTTTCTTCTCCGTAATGAGTCTGAATCTGAGTCCCTCCCCAACGATTTTTAGAACGGAAAAACATTCTAGCCGCTCTGATTGGTCCCAGAAACCAATGTGTTGTGCCAGAGCCAGAATACACGTGGATAAAATGGCAGTTTGAAAATACGATTGGCTTTGATACAATCAAATCGCTGATTACTTTGTTTTGTACAACACCCCTCATTTGGACGTCACCACAAACGACTTCAACGATGGCAGTCTCAGACTGAAGTATGTAGTGAACGACAGAGCAGCGGAATAATTCAGTTTGAGTCGTCAGGCAACCTGAAGTGTATAGTATAGTAATTAGTTAGTGTGACTCTGTCTGTTAGGAGTTCACACCCACACAATCAAATAATCATGCAGACCAGTAATGCCAACTTCCTCACATGTTTTCACCAGGCAGGCTGGAAATAGAGGTGTTGATATGAGCCCAGCTGTAGCCTTCACACCTCCAAATGTGTGTGTGTGTGTGTGTGTGTGTGCGTGTGTGACTTTGGCAATTGGTCATGTGCTGTTGATGGGTGGGTGTTCATGTTTTGTAACCAGTTACCGAGGTCTCTGTCTGTGCAGAGATTGTAGTACTGGAGTTACATGAGTGAGAGTGTGTGATAATGAGTGTGTTTGTACTAAATGTAGTCTACTGTTTCTCTGAGGATGATATGGAAGCAAGGACGCACATACCTCGTCCAGTTTCTCTGTCTGAGACTTCAGTCTGCACATGTTCACCGATATATATCCGTTCTCCTCCTCTAGCAACTGGACTCTGTGGGGGAAGAAGAGGAAACACATTTTGATAATTCATCCATGTTTAGCATATGCCAGGGTTATTCAAAACAAAGCCAATAACAAAGAGAAATGGAAATTAGCAGTACAGCGGACCTCAAGGCCTAATCTATGGTATCTACCTAGCTCTATGGACTACACTCTTAGAAAAAAGGGTTCCAAAGGGATTATTCGGCTGTCCCCATAGGAGAACCCTTTTTGGTTTCAGGTAGAACCGTTTTGCGTTCCATGTAGAACCCTCTGTGGAAAGGTTTCTACATGGAACCCAAAAGGGTTTTTACCTGGAAACCAAAGGGTTCTACCTATTGGAACAGCCAAAGAACCCTTTTAGGTTCTAGATAGCGCATAAATGTAAATATGAGTATCTATGATGCAGTGTATAAATGATTGAAGTAAGTGTGTTTGTGTGTGTGTGTGTGTGTGTGTGTGTAAGTGTGTGTGTTACCGGTTGTGTAGCAGCTCTATCTCAGTGTTCCTGTCCCTCTCCATCTTGCTGTAGGCTTCACGGTGTCGTCTCTGCTCTTCCTCTGTGTTCTGCTCTGCCCGCGCCTCCTGGTCCTTCAACTGCTCCTCCAACTCGTGGACCCTGTGAGTGACACACACACGCACACACACACATTAACAAACATAAGCATACTGTAAATGAGATATGCAAAAACATGCTCACACACACATATATATATTTAAGAATAAATGTGTGTGCGTGCGTTTGTTTGTGTGTATGTGTATGTGTGTATCTACGTGTGTGTGTGTGTATCTACGTGTGTGTGTGTGTGTGTGTGTGTGTGTGTGTGTGTGTGGGTGGGTGGGCATGCATGTGTGTGTGTAAACCTCCTACCTGTGAACCAGCTGTGTGTTCTCCTGCTTCAGCTTGGACTTGAGATCTCCATTCATCAGAGTGTCATTCTCCAACTCTGCTACTTTCTTCTCTAGGTAACTCACCTGTGTGTTGGGGAGAGAGAGAGAGATAAAGAGAGAGAGAGAGAGAGAGAGAGAGAGAGAGAGGTGGTAAATAGGGAGAGAGAGGGTAAGATATGTTATATCAATGTCCTTACTTCAGCCAGCACAATCAGCAACAAGCTCTGCCAGAGCCATTCATTTCATTTCACAGCAGAACACCTCTTGACAGTAGCAGCCAATGCAATCAATTTCACAATTGGTATCCTATCAACTTTCACCTTAATAGAATTGAGTGCAGGTAGTGGAACGGTCACAGATAGAGACAGACACAATAAATGGCAGTACCTTCCATAGAATGAAATAGAACACAATGTATCTCTACGGTACCTTCTCAGTGATGTCGATGTCACAGGAGTCGATGCTGTCTCGGAACAGGTCCTCCGTGCTGCCGTTGCTGCTGCTGAAGTTACTGGTGTGGAGGAGCTGCCTGCAGACAGAGAGAACGAAAGAGAGAGGAAGAAGCTGGTTACACACATGACTCCATCCAAACAGAAACTCCCAAAACTACAGCTCGCAAACAGAAGCTTCCAGAACTACATCTCCCATACTGTAGTGTTAGCCCAGGCACCAGTGTGTTTCAGCTGTAGCCAACTCCTTTGTTCTTGAGGCCAAAACAGTAACAGACTGGGACCTACAGTAACCAACAAAGACAGCTACTGTGCAGTGTGCAACCTAGAAGCAGTCCACTAAGACTTGATCCGTTTGAAGAAAAAACTATATCCCTTCACCTTAAAATCTCTCACAACTGTGGTAGTCCTATAGCGCTATCCCTTTCTAGCTTCACCCCATAGGGCATAAATCTGAGCTTTACTGCTGAACCATAATGCCACTGTGTGTACATCCCATCTCCACTCCTGCAGAGAGAATGCCGCAGGATAGGATGAAAAAGGGACTATAAGCATAAGGGCTGTGCCAGTGAGGGAGCTGATGATATTGCATAGAGTGCAGACACACACACATGCACACACACACATCACACACTATTACAGTACAAAGACACACAGGCATGCATGCCCATATGTACGCACGCACACACACACACACACACACACACACACACAGTGACATTCAAACTGCCGCCACGACAGCTAGCCCCTCTCTAACTAATGGAATGGCTTCACACCAGCATCCATTACAGAGACTATTCATCAATAAGAGGAGGAGGAGAAAGGGAGGGAAAGAGTAGGGGAGGAGAGGAGAGGAAGAGAGGTAGAGAGTAGGGAATGAAATGGAGAGAAGAGGGGAGAGGAGGGGAGGTAGTAGAGAGGAGAGAGAGAAGAGAGAGGGAGAAGAGAGAGGAGGACGGAGAGAAGGAGAGGAGAGAGAGTAGAGAGGAGGAGGAGTAGATAGAGAGAGGGAAGAGAGGAGAGAGAGAAGAGGAGGAGAGAGAGAGGAGAGAGTAGAGGAGTAGAGGGGAGAGGGAGAGGAAGAGGAGGAGAGTAGAAGAGAGAGAGAGAGAGAGGGGAGGAGGAGAGTAGAAGAGTGGGAGAGAGTAGAGGAGGAGAGTAGAAGAGAGAGAGAGAGTAGAGGAGGAGAGTAGAAGAGTGGGAGAGAGTAGAGGAGGAGAGAGGAAGAGAGGGGAGAGGAGTAGAGGAGGAGAGTAAGTAGAGAGAGGAGAGAGTAGAGGAGGAGAGTAGAAGAGAGGGAGAGAGGAGAGTAGAAAGAGGGAGGAGAGAGTAGAGGAGGAGAGAGAAAGAGAGGAGAGAGTAGAGGAGGAGAGTAGAAGAGAGGGAGAGAGTAGAGGAGGAGAGTAGAAGAGAGGGAGAGAGTAGAGGAGGAGAGTAGAGGAGGAGAGTAGAAGAGAGAGAGAGTAGAGGAGGAGAGTAGAAGAGAGGGAGAGAGGAGAGTAGAAGAGAGGGAGAGAGTAGAGGAGGAGAGTAGAAGAGAGGGAGAGAGTAGAGGAGGAGAGTAGAAGAGAGAGAGGGAGTAGAGGAGGAGAGTAGAAGAGAGGGAGAGAGTAGAGGAGGAGAGTAGAAGAGAGGGAGAGAGTAGAGGAGGAGATAAAGGAAAACAGAAGAGAGGGAGGGGAGAGGTTGATCCCTATGCACATAGATCAGTGCTGGCAGGCCAATCTCTCTTTGTCAGTTTAATTCACTAGAGGAGGGAAGTAGGACAAAGCCCTAGATACACTGTACATTGACCACAATGAAAGGATATCATATTAGGTAAGCTATAAAACCTTGAAGAGAGCCTATCTAACTGACAATCTCTTAGAAATAAATATAAACTATTGGAACCAAGACTTAAAAATAACTGATATTGGCACAAGATGGATGGAATGTTGGGACATAACTAACAAAATTACAATTAACTAAAATGTACGCTTAATCCAGTATGAACTAATGTATAGAATTTACTGATGAATTTACTTTTAATCCGTCTGTCTGCATAATTCAAGACATGGCATATGAGGGTGCAGTGAGATACCTGATGGGTTGGACGATACTTTCTCGTCAATCGTCTTGAAAAAATGTATACTTAAAAACTGGAAATCAACCAATCCTCTGTTGTTAACACAATGGAAAGGTCAAATGCTTTATTATCTTTAAATGTTGAAAGTGTGTGGGCGACGAGAAGAGAAAAAAAATTGGTTGTTGCAGTTGAGGCCATGTGGCAGAGAGTGATGTGGGCGCTTGAGATGGGGTGTTAGCATGTGGGTCTGGGCAGGTGTTATCCAATTTGTAAGTCGCTCTGGATAAAGCGTCTGCTAAATGACGTAAATGTAAAATGTAAATGTAGTTGATGTTTGTGTGATGTTGTTGTTTGTATGTGTATGTTTTGTACTGTAACAAAATGAATAATGCCTTCACTGCATTGTATACAGGTACACTTGTAAGCTGAACACAGTGCCCCTGCTTCAATGTGTACATACAAGCATCTTAATTGGATCACCCTGTTGTTGCAGAAAATGTCCTTGATTTGCCCTAACAAAAAATTGATTAACCCCTACAAAAATGTCCATTAATTATATTCCACACAATAATTCACATTTCCTGTTTCTGCAGGGTTATTTTCCTGCTGTGAGAAACTGCTTAAATGAAGATCCTACATCTGTACACAGTAGTAACTGTAGTAGTAAAGTGAACACAGAAGAGGTAGAGAGGTTCAGTATACTAAAACCATGACCTTATTACTTAGGAAGTATTACTTAGATAGTAGTCTAATACACAGGCTAATATAATGATCACTTGACTAAGGGACTGGATCAATAAGGAAGTGGTCATCATTAATCAATAACCAACATACAAAAACAAACACAGTAAGCACACAAGTATTACTTAGATAGTAGTCTAATACACTGGCTAACATAATGATCACATGACTAAGGGACTGGTTCAATAAGGAAGTGGCCAACATACAAAAACAAACACAGTAACAACACATACATATGGAGACGTGACTGACCTGCCAAAGGCTGTGCTGGAGATTTTCCTATTGGGGCTGGAGAAAAAGAAACAGAAAACATCACAGTTAGTCTTACCCTTGTCAAATGTCATGGATATGTCTAGAGACTTTAGTTTATTAGTTATAACAATGAATTATAGATAGTAAAGCTAATTGCTGTTTGATTGGTATTAAGATAGTATTGTTAATCAGTATTTTTCACAAGAGGAGAAAGAGAGTATGTGTTCCAAATGGCACCATGTTTCCTATATAGTGCACTACTATTGACTAGAGCCCTATAGACCCTGGTCAATAGTAGAGTCCTATAAAGGGAAGAGGGTGCCATTTACGACACAACCGGAGAGTAGGGCACGAAGGGCATGTCAATGTTAATGAAATAATGTTCCCTGAGAAGACAAAACGATTCCAGAGTCCTCACCACTTCATTACATTCATTACCGAGTTCACCAGCCTAGGGCCACTACTGCTATGGCTTACATATGGTAGGAGTCCAGGTGTGTATGTGTGTGTGTGTTTGTGTGTGTGTGTGTGTGTGTGTGTGTGTGTGTGTCTGTCTGTGTGTGTGTGTGTGTGTGTATGTGTGTCTGTGTACAATAGAGCGCAAGTCTATATGTAAGTTCTGTGTGAGATGTGAGTGTGTCAGTCAGTGTGTGTCCATCAAAGCAGGTGTGTGTGTGTCTGTTCGTTTACAGAGGAAGTGATTAACTCCATAATGATCACACAGGATAACGTGTCTTAAAATAGACCGCCAATGCCTCTCATTATACACACGCTGATGATGTGGGTCAATGAATGGTGGCGACCCATTCTGACATTTGGGGAATTACGTAACAAGTTGTGTGTGTGTGCGTGTGTGTGGGGACAATACATTTAAGCCCTTTGTGACATCACCAAAATAAACAGCAGGTCACTATGGCAGTATTATTCAACCTATCTTACATACAGTACAGTCAGGGTAAACAGGTGCGGCAGGTAGCTTAGTGGGTAAGAGCGTTGTGCCAGTAACCGAAAGGTTGCTGGTTCTAATCCCTGAGCTGACTAGGTGAAAAATCTGTTGATGTGCCCTTAAGCAAGGCACTTAACCCTAATTGCTCCTGTAAGTCGCTCTGGATAAGAGCGTCTGCTAAATGACTAAAATGTAAATGTAAACATAGTGGACAATAGAAGTATGTCATCTCCCTGAAATAATGACCAGGTTCATTTTCTGTGAGAACACATCTCATTCTTAGAGCAAGGAGTTTTCCTGACCACAGGATCTGATGCTAGTTATAGATCCACTTACTCAGCTGGGCTCTAGGCCGTATGCGTACGTGTGATGGTGTCCTATCCTATGTTACCTGTTGGCCTTGAGGTTCTTCAGCCTGGCCTCCAGGTCGTTGAGTAGGTTGACCTTCTTACAGCACTGGGAGCAGTACACATCCATCATCTCATTGTTGTACATGTGGCGTGTCTTCCTGGGGGTCTGGCCAGCACTACACACACAGATAAAGATATAGCGTTAGATAGAGAATATACACACATCACACACACACACACACAGTAAGCAGTAAAATCAGATTTAAAAAACAGATAACAAATACACCTGTGTGTGTGAAGAGACACACACACAGGCACAGACACGCATACGCACTATACACACACGTACACATGGATTTTGTGTTGTAGATATGTGGTAGTAGAGTAGTGGCCTGAGGGAATACACTTAATGTGTTGTGAAATCTGTTGTGAAATATAATGTAAATGTTTTTAATTGTATATAACTGCCTTAATTTTGCTGGACCCCAGGAGGAATAGCTGCTGCCTTGGCAGGAACTACTGGGATCATCATAAATACAAATACAGCAGACACACAAACACATTACATGCGCGTGCAAACACACAGTACACTGTATTCACACCACACCCATCCCCGCCCACACACACAAACACATGACATGTACACTACCGTTCAAAAGTTTGGGGTCAATTAGAAATGTCCTTGTTTTCGAAAGAAAAGCTATTTTTTTTGTCCATTAAAATAACATCAAATTGATCAGAAATACAGTGTAGACATTGTTAATGTTGTAAATGGCTATTGTAGCTGGAAACGGCAGATTTTTTATGGAATATCTACATAGGCGTACAGAGGCCCATTATCAGCAACCCTCAGTCCTGTGTTCCAATGGCACGTTGTGTTTGCTAATCCAGGTTTATCATTTTAATTTATCATTAGAAAACCCTTTTGCAATTATGTTAGCACAGCTGAAAACTGTTGTGCTGATTAAAGAAGCAATTAAACTGGCCTTCTTGAGACTAGTTGAGTATCTGGAGCATCAGCAATTGTGGGTTCGATTACAGGCTCAAAATGGCCAGAAACAAATAACTTTCTTCTGAAAGTCGTCAGTCTATTCTTGTTCTGAGAAATGAAGGCTATTCCATGCGAGAAATTGCAAAGAAACTGAAGATCTCGTACAACGCTGTGTACTTCTCCCTTCACAGAACAGCGCAAACTGGCTCTAACCAGAATAGAAAGAGGAGTGGGAGGCCCCGGTGCACAACTGAGCAAGAGGACAAATACATTAGAGTGTCTAGTTTGAGAAACAGACGCCTCACAGGTCCTCAACTGGCAGCTTCATTAAATAGTACCCGCAAAACACCAATCTCAACGTCAACAGCGAAGAGGTGACTCCGGGATGCTGACCTTCTAGGCAGAGTTGCAAAGAAAAAGCCATATCTCAGACTGCCCATCTTAATCTTTTCTTTTTATTGGCCAGTCTGAGATATGGCTTTTTCTTTGCAACTCTGCCTAGAAGGTCAGCATCCCGGAGTCGCCTCTTCACTGTTGTACGAGATCTTCAGTTTCTTGGCAATTTCTCGCATGGAATAGCCTTAATTTCTCAGAACAAGCTTTTCTTTCCAAAACAAGGACATTTCTGACCCCAAACTTTTGAACGGTAGTGTACGTGCAAACACACAGTACACTGTATTCACAGGACCACTGTACTATGAGAGTAGTACCACACCTATTCCTGTTCAAACTACAATACGTTCCTATTACTATAACAACACAACACCACAACACATACCACACACATACCATATGTTCACATACAGTGCTATAGGAAAGTATTCAGACCCCTTCATTTTTTCCACATTTGGTTACGTTACAGCCTTATTCTAAATTGGATACACACAATACCCCATAATGACAAAGCGACAACTGGTTTTAAAACATTTTTGCAAATTTTTGCTAATTTATAAAAAAAAGAAATAGAAACAGAAATACCATATTTACATAAGTATTCAGACCCTTTACTATGACACTCGAAATTGAGCTGAGGTGCATCCTGTTTCTATTGATCATCCTTGAGATGTTTCTACAACTTGATTGGAGTCCACCTGTGGTAAATTCAATTGATTGGACATGATTTGGAAAGGCACACACCTGTCTGTAAAAAGTCCCACAGTTGACAGTGCATGTCAGAGCAAAAACCAAGCCATGAGGTCGAAATAATTGTCCGTAGAGCTCAGAGACAGGATTGTGTCGAGGCACAGATCTGGGGAATAGTACCAAAAATGTCTGCAGCATTGAAAGTCCCCAAGAACACAGTGGTCTCCATCATTCTTAAATGGAAGAAGTTTGGAACCACCAAGACTCTTCCTAGAGCTGGCCGCCTAGCCAACCTGAGCAATCGTAGAAGAAGGGCCTTGGTCAGGGAGGTGACCAAGAACCCGATATCCACTCTGACAGAGCTCCAGAGTTTCTCTGTGGAGATGGGAGAACCTTCCAGAAGGACAACGATCTCTGCAGCACTCCACCAATCAGGCCTTTATGGTAGAGTGGCCAGACGGAAGCCACTCCTCAGTAAAAGGTAAATGACAGCCCGCTTGGAGTTTGCCAAAAGGCACCTAAAGGACTCTCAGACCATGAGAAACAAGATTCTCTGGTCTGATGAAACCAAGATTGAACTCTTTGGCCTGAATGCCAAGCGTCATGTCTGGAGGAAACCTGGCACCATCCCTACGGTGAAGCATGGTGGTGGCAGCATCATGCTGCGGGGATGTTTTTCAGCGTCAGGGACTGGGAGACTAGTCAGGATCGAGGGAAAGATGAACGGAGCAAAGTACAGAGAGATCCTTGATGAAAACCTGCTCCGGATTGCTCAGGACCTCAGACTGGGGCAAAGGTTCACCTTCCAACAGGACAACAACCCTAAGCACACAGCCAAGACAACGCAGGAGTGGCTTCATGACAAGTCTCAGAATGACCTTGAGTGGCCAAGCCAGAGCCCGGACTTGAACCCGATCGAATATCTCTGGAGAGACCTGAAAATAGCTGTGCAGTGACGCTCCCCATCAAACCTGACAGAGCTTGAGAGGATCTGCAGAGAAGAATGGGAGAAACTTCCCAAATACAGGTGTGCCTGAATACTTATGTAAATGTCTTATTTCATTTTTTTTTTTTTATATAAATTTGCAAACATTTCTAAAAACATGTTGTTGCTTTGTCATTATGGGGTATTGTGTGTAGATTGATGAGGGAAAAAACCTCTTTCATCCATTTTAGAATAAGGCTGTAACATAACAAAATGTGGAAAAAGTCAAGGGGTCTGAATACTTTCCGAATGCACTGTATGTTCACATTTCCATGGAAACGTACCCAACCATCTAAAAATATCATAAAGCACTAATCTAAACTCAACTTAAAAGTAGGACAAAAAAAAGAAAAGTCCATAGTAATGACTTTATGTACTTGATATTCTGAGCAGGAACAAGGAAGCCGAATAGTGTTGGGAGTAAATCCTCCTTAAAAACAGCTCTATAGATGAATATTAATCAAGAGAGGCCCTGGGGGCCATATAGGCTACGTCTCAAATGGCACCGTATTCCCTTTATAGTGCACTACTTTTGACCAGGGTCCATAAGGCTCTGTTCAAAAGTAGTGCAATATGTAGGTAATAGGGTACCATTGGGATATCATCCTACTCTGTTCCAGTCAAGAGTAAAAACTAATGAGTTTGGTAAGCTAAGCTGTGAGAGAGGAGAGAAGCAGCCTGAAGTGGGTACACACACACACACACACAAACACACACACACACACGCACAGGGGGGGTATAGGACAGGGGGTATGAGACTTGACAGGGGGTGTTTTGTGAAAATATATTTTTTGGGAGAAGAACATTATGCTCTGTGGAGTTCAGTAAGTCATCATCACTGGGATATGAAATCGTTCAAACTCTTAGCTCTGTGTGTTTGTGTTTATGGGCTGGGTGATGCTGTGCATGTATTTGTCATCTTTCTGTTGCACAGTGTTATGCAGATTTCTGTAAGTTTATGAGTTTGCCTTTCGGGGTCACATGATGTTTGACAGGTATTGAATCATCTTCGTGTTTGTGTTTCTGTCTCATATAATGTCACAGTTTTGGTCATGTCTATGTTTGTATTTCTTGTTGCATATGGTGTTCTGCAACTTTCTGTACTCTATGTAATAGTGTGTCTGTGTTTTAGTGTGTCTGTGTATTAGTGTGTCTGTGTATTAGTGTGTCTGTGTATTAGTGTGTCTGTGTATTAGTGTGTCTGTGTAATAGTGTGTCTGTGTATTAGTGTGTCTGTGTATTAGTGTGTCTGTGTATTAGTGTGACTGTGTAATAGTGTCTGTGTAATAGTGTCTGTGTATTAGTGTGTCTGTGTATTAGTGTGTCTGTGTAATAGTGTGTCTGTGTATTAGTAGGTCTGTGTAATAGTGTGTCTGTGTATTAGTAGGTCTGTGTAATAGTGTGTCTGTGTATTAGTGTGTCTGTGTAATAGTGTGTCTGTGTAATAGTGTGTCTGTGTAATAGTGTGTCTGTGTAATAGTGTGTCTGTGTAATAGTGTGTCTGTGTATTAGTGTGTCTGTGTATTAGTGTCTGTGTAATAGTGTGTCTGTGTATTAGTGTGTCTGTGTATTAGTGTGTCTGTGTAATAGTGTGTCTGTGTAATAGTGTGTCTGTGTATTAGTGTCTGTGTAATAGTGTGTCTGTGTATTAGTGTGTCTGTGTATTAGTGTGTCTGTGTAATAGTGTGTCTGTGTAATAGTGTGTCTGTGTAATAGTGTGTCTGTGTATTAGTGTGTCTGTGTATTAGTGTCTGTGTAATAGTGTGTCTGTGTATTAGTGTGTCTGTGTATTAGTGTGTCTGTGTAATAGTGTGTCAGTGTAATAGTGTGTCTGTGTATTAGTGTGTCTGTGTCTCCTCTTACCTGGAGGGTACAGAGGAGCCCAGGTCAGAGTAGCCGTTGGTGCGCGTCTCGTCCTCGGGGCAGGGGCTGCTGGGAGTGTAGTCCACGTCCTCTCCCTCTCCGTAGTCCTCAAACTGCTCCTCGTTCAGAGAGGCAGAGGAACGCGTCGATAGGTCAGAGGTCACCGATGGGTTTAGCTGACTGCACCTGCAAAAACAGGAAGTAGACTTTCAGGAAGTGGCATTCAATACGTAAAAAAAAAATACAAATTGTACATTCATTTTTAAATTCTAAGGGTGACTATTCAAATTCTGACACTGACAGTGCAGATTTTTTTATAAGATTGCAAATTATATATTTCACATGAGATAGATGAGTTACATGTACGAGCCTAATCTCTACAGTATTTTTTTAATAAAGAAAGTTCATTCATAAAGACACCATGTTCAACACCACACACAGATTAACAACTAAAAGAGGTACTCACTTGTCCCCAGGAAAGAAGAGTGCCCCCAGTCCATCCTCCTTGTTTCCTCCGTTCCTCCCCCCTTCAGAGACATCTGATCCCGGGTTACTCTCCACAGCACTGTCCATGTCTAACTCTGCCCTCTCTCTGCCCTCCACCTCTCCTTCCTCCTCTCCCTCTGGGAATAGATGGCACCCTGGCTCAGGGTTAGGGGACACCCGCGTGCACATGATGATCGGATGGGCAAGGGCTTTGTCACCACGCTGTAGAGAGAGAGAGAGAGAGAGAGAGAGAGAGAGAGAGAGAGAGAGATTTGATTAGATTTATTAGGATCCCCATTAACCGACGCCAACGGCGACAGCTAGTATTACTGGGACACATAACGTAAAACAGACAGACAAAATACTTTACAATTTACATACTGAAAGGGAGAGAGGTGAGCAGGGGAGGTACACACACGGGCATGCGTGCACACATGCACACACACACACACACACACGTATACACACTCTCTGGAAAGGGCACGCACACACACACATCTTTGTGAGGTCAACAGAACTACATGACTACAGGACTATGCAAATAGTACTCTCAGACTTTCAGTCAAAACATTGATAGCGTCTAACACTGATAGACACGTTTTAGGGTTTCAGCAAAGGGCAAAGGTCATTACGTTGGTTATGAGTGAACACTGAGCTCAAACCTAAAATCCAAGTGCTAGAACAAGTGCTCAAATGATGTCTTAATTCATACGAGGTGTTAAGTAAAACACTGAAGGGATTTAATCAGGCTTTTGGATTCCTTCACTGTGGGAAGACTCTGGGTGTCACAGGAGGTCATGGAGGGTATTGAGTTGGGGTCAAAGGTCATGAGACTGGTCATTCAGTGTCACTCCAACACCTCTAATCCAGTCTAATGGTAATAGAGTAGAGTACGACAGATAATCGGCCGAGCCGATATATCGGACCGATATTGGGCTTTTCTAGTCTATCGGCTATCGGCCCTTCTCTATCGGCTTAGCCAATAGTCCCTCTACATAGCAAAGCTGTTGCTATGCCAGCCGCCACTCACTGCCTGAGCCACGAGCACTGCACAATGCAGACGAATGTCTAGCTGGGAAAATCAGCAGCAGCAAGCAGCAAGCTAGCACATTCTCCAGTAGAAAGGTGCAGTATTGAGAAATGGATGAATTGACACATTGACCAAAATCGAACTCCTGTTGCAAATATAAGTTGTAATAGGGAAAGAAGGAAGTGTTTTAAAATGCCTAAATAAAGGTTGGCAATTGGTTTAGCTACCTAAGAATCTTCCTGCATGTTTCATGTTGGAGGGAATGGCCGGCAGGGGATGTAGCTCAGTTGGTAGAGCATGGCGTTTGCAACGCCAGGGTTGTGGGTTCGATCAAATAATGTATGCACTAACTGTAAGTCGCTCTGGATAAGAGCGTCTGCTAAAATGACTAAAATGTAAATGTAAATGTTTATGGACCAAGAAAGCTATAGATCAGCGCGTGTGTGTGTTCTCACGTCTCAAACTATTTGCAGATTTGAGTCATTCAGACAGAACGTGCGTCATAGTTTCATATTTTTTCCTACCCTCGCTATCCTTGTTAGATATTATGCACATTTATGGATTGGTAGCAAATGTCATCGCCATTGAGCTAGTTCTCATAGTAGCAGTAAACAGCACCAAGTCATATGAGCGATGGAGAGAGATGTAAGGAGATGTGAAAGGGAGCAGAGTTACAGCCTCGCTCTATCCAATCGTAGCAGTAGGATCAAGTTACAACCCGCCCATTTCTTGACAGGTAGCTGAACTAGCCAATTCAGTTGTTTTGAATTTCGTCCTGGCAGCTGAGTTGTTTAGAGATGCGTCCTGACAGCAAAAATAATAATAACTCCAGATCACGGAAAATTACTTAAAATACTAGTTTGATAGGCACCGTGATCGCAAATCATGACGTTACGTTGGACCCATTTGCATTGAATAGATGTTCTTTTATATTCTCAAACTAACAGCAGTGCCTATATGATGTCCTTCCATACAGGCGTGACATGCTGGAGTGATGCTTCTACGCAAATGTTGTTGATCAGTAGGCTAATATAAGACCCAAATGGAAGGCAAACAGATTGTTTGTCATTTGTAGCACCATAGACTCCACTGATTAGCCAAAACAAGCTCAATAACTCAATGTATGCACACACTCCTATTGAATATGCATTCACCTGTACTGTGAGTAGGCCTATGCCATCTTGATTTACCCAGTTTATCAAGAGATTTACCATTCAAATACAATTATTACCATTATGCTGTTATGTAGTTAGATTGGTAAAAATTGTTTGATTTAGAAATTGATGCATTAATGGATACATGGCTGTCTCTGGGACATTTTGACATCAACATTTTTAAATTTAATGATATTGAATATCGGCCTAAAATATATCGGCCATCAGCCTCCTTGACCCCCCAAAATCGGTATCGGCCCTAAAAAATCCACATCGGTCGTTCTCTGTAATAGAGGAACTTGACTTTATCTCTACATGCCTGGGTAGTAGCAGGGAGGGAGAGAAAGAGCGAGTTAGAAAGAGGGAGAGGGAGAGAGAGAGAGAGGGAGAGAGGGAGAGAGTGAGAGAGGTACAGAGGGCAGCTCAATAACACACATGTATATCATCCCACACAGAGCATTAGAGGATTAGAGGCTAATAAAGGCATTTTCGCTCAAGGGCTCTCACCCTAACTGCTCTCTCTCTCTCTTTCTCTCTCTTTCTTTCTCTCCCTCTCTCTCTCTCTCTCCCCCTCTCTCTCTCCCCATTCTCAGTCTCTATCTCTGTTGCTATACTGGTTGAACTGCTAACGGACTAAAACTCAGGGCTGGAAGCCAAAAGTACTATTCCTAACATCCCTAGAGCTCTGTTGGAGCCTGTCTGCCTCCCAGAACACACACACATATATATACACACACATAATACACACACACGTACGCACATACACCCTCACTATCTGGAAAGCGCATACACACACATTTTTGTGCAGACTACAGGACAACGCAAATAGTACTCTCAGCCTTATTACATCACCAGTCAAAACATTGATAGCGTGAAACACTGATAGATACATTCTTAGGCTTTCAGCAAAAGGTCAAAACATGTTGGTTGAACAGGTCAAACAAGATCTTAAGTGAAACACTAAAGAAATTTCAATTAGGCTCGTGGAATCCGTCACTGTGGGGTGACCCATGGGGTCACGGAGGGTATTGAGGTGGGAGGCCAAAGGTTAAAGGTCATGAGACACTGGTCATTCATTCAGTGTCACTCCAACAGCTCTAATCCAGTCTAATGCTAAGAGAGGAACATGACTTTATCTCTACATGCTGGAGAAGTAGGAGGGAGAGAGGGAGAGAGAGAGAGAGAGGGAGGTACAGAGGGCAGCCCAATTACACACAGGTACATGTATATCATCCCACACAGAGCATTAGACATTTTAGTCATTTAGCAGACACTCTTATCCAGAGCAACTTACAGTTAGTGAATGCATACATTTTCATACTGGCCCCCCGTGGGGAAACGAACCCACAACCCTGGCGTTGCAACGCACATGCGCTATCTACCACTGAGCTAACAAGGTCTCTCTCCTTCTCTCTCCTCTCTCTCTCTCTTCTCGCTCTCTCTCTCTATCTCATCTCCTCTTCTCTCTCTCTCTCTCTCTCTCTTCTCTCTCATATCTCTCTAGCTCTCTCTCCCTCTCTCTCTCCTCTCTCTCTCTCTCTCTCTCTCTCTCTCTCTCTCTCTCTCTCTATCGCTATGCTGGTTGAACTGCTAACGGACTAAAACTCAGGGCTCGAAGCCAAAAGTACTATTCCTAACATCACTAAAGCTCTGTTGGAGCCTGTCTGCCTCCCAGAACACACACACCCGCCCCTCGATCTCACACACACATACATACACACACCCTGTAGGCCTATACACACGCACGCACACGCACGCACACGCACGCACGCACACGCACGCACACACACTGTCTGTAGGATTAAGCGACAGCAGCAGGGACCCTGGGGCAGGGAGGGCCAGGGACAATACATGGAGAAAGAACCTGTTTAATATTCCATAGAGGACCAGGAGCGGGGTCTTCACATCTCCATGCCCCAAGGAATGCCACCCAGCACGGGGTAGAGGCAATAAACTAGGCCCCATCTCACCTCTCGGGATGGAAATATTAGACTGCAAAAGAAAGTAGCAGTAGTGGAGGCTAAGAGTGAAGAGTGTAAATTCTATACAGGAAACACACAAAGGCAAAAACACAGTAGGAAGAACTGGTACGATTGTAGGTGAATGGTGTCGATTAACCCAACTTGACACCTGTTGCTGAAGAACTATTTGGGCGTGAGGAAGCCGTTTTGCATAGCCAGTGTGTACAGTGTAGGATCTGCCCTGCTGTGTTTGGTGCTGTATGGTGAGCATGGCTACGAATGGTTACAGTACAGTTCAGTATACAGAAGTTGAGCAACTTCCAAAGGTCTTCTCCCTTGACTCAACACATGAGACTCAGATAAGGCTTTTACATACAAATGAGCCTCCATTAAGTCTGAATTAAAGTTCAGTTGAGGGCAGACGGACGGCCGGACGGACAGACAGACAAAATGCACACACACATCCCTTCTGCGGACACACACTCACACACACATATACTCTCACACACACACACACACACACACACACACACACACACACACACCGACAGCCAGACAGCCAGACAGCGTCACCCCCAGCCCTGGTAATCCAGTACAATAGAGGCTGGGACAGTTAGGTCAGGGTGGGTGAATGCCTTTATGCCAGTAAGCAGTTGGTAGCTTAGGTCAGAAGAGACAGGGTAGAGAAGGATGGGGTAGTGGTTTGTTTTGGATGGGGTTCAGCTGGCACTCCTCCAGTCACTCCTGAGCTGTTCTGACAACAGTGGGAACAGGGTGATCAACAGGAGGGGCCGAAGGGGTGGAGTGTGTGTGTGTGTGCATGCATGTATGCGTGTGTAGGAGTGTGCGTATGGAGACCGGCTTCTCTACCGGATCCTTGCACAACAAACTACTCCTGAAAAGCCTTCCGGCCATAACAGCTAGGTTACCATGGGGTAACACATCACTGTGTTCCCAAAAGTGCACCAGGACGCTGTCAGAGAGCCATAAATATAGATGGCTGTGGAGGTTGCCAAATGATCTCACAGCAGCCAGTGGGTGTTTTTGTTTTTGTTTTGGGGGGTAGATCAGCTTTAAT